TGCACTTTTAGGTTAGGATATCTCAAAGTCCTGACGTGATAGAGCAATTTAAACCCCGGATTCGGATTCTACGCAAAAAATTACTTCGGAAATGACACTACACTTTTATAGAACATTCCGAACCCATTTTTTTGCAGACCTGTGTTATTAATCTTTGCTAATGAACCGCTGTAGCGCAGTGCTGTTGAGAACGAAACGCGCTATTTGCTATGCTTTTTCATTTTTCATTTAACACCACATTTCAGTTGTGCATGTAAATGTGAATGTTATTAATCTAAAGTTGCTTACGCGTAAGATATCTTTGTGCATATCACACACGATCTTCAAAAGTGACAAAAGTGACAAAACTCAAAATTTGGCATTTTTGAAATTATGCATTAAAAATGTACACAGAGCTTTTATTTACCTTTCAGCAAAAGTTGGAGCAAATTTTTATTATAAACGCTAAAGTAAAATAGCCCTTGCCCATATGATTAGCATGTGCTACGAAATAGTATTTTGTATTTTCTGACATACGTTCAATTTTGAGTTGTGTCACTTTTGAAGATCGTGTGTGATATATACATATGCATGAATGTAAGTGCTTGTTATGTATATGAGTTAATTCCCAAAACTGATGACTTTTTTCCACTTCAGCGCCAAGGCGTTAAAACTTGAGCTAACTCGAGTTGAAATTCTCCAGTTCAGTGAATGCGAAATTATTCCTAAGTAAATATGTATTTACATATTTGATGCATTAATATAACTACTTACATTTGGTAGAGGAAATTCGTATAAGTGCCAGACAATTTTTGGTGTTGGATTGCCACTTGCGCTGCATTTCAACGATACTGATGGACCGGGTTGTATAGTTTGTTTGATGAATTTGTAAATCAGTTACGGTACTACCTCTGTAAGAGAGCGTACATATTATATAGAAGAAAATGTTGTTATTGTAAAAGATTAGGAATTAATTAGGGGCACTATTTTAATTGCCAGGATGGAAAGGGCAACTCTACAGAGGTTAAATTGCTGCTGTACCCTCCTATAGTACAACTCCTTTAGACGTATGGTCGATTGTGATGTCCATCCGCCCAAAAACAATGTGATTTGCAAATGACCTAAGATATTGCCACGAGGGTAAGGATCTCAAAATTTTCCAAGCACTGCCTGCTGATGATAATATACAGTGTGTCACATTGGGACAGGTGGTTCAGGAATGTTTTCTTTTCTCTCTTCTTGAAATTTTCTACAGAAATTGTGAGGTGTTTCCTCAGACGTTGTGCGTGCCTACCCATCAGGCATTAAACTACAATAAGGGAGTTTAAGACGTTGAACTAGAGATAAAGTGACTCCCCTTATGCTCAGCTCAAATGCAGGTGCAATGTATTAGCTTGTGCTATCTTAGTTCCGGTACTAAGTTGCGACGCTCACTCGGGATCAAATCTTTTCATTAACGGAATGAGCTTTGACCATTCTCTTCCATGCTTGCACATATATAAATCTTCGCTATCTCCACAAGGTCTTGTAGAGATGGTCTTCCGAGCGTATGTGATAACATTCTACTAAGTACCGGGCAGTGGCTGATAAGGTTTTGTACGCTAAATAGACAATGACATGTAAAAACTCTTGTGTGGGTGTTTTAAGCCCAAGATTACATAGGCAGTCTAGCAGTTTAACAGGAGGAGAGCTTTCTCCGGCGCTCGTTTGCAGCTTGTCTTGTGATGTGCTGAACATGTAGTTCAAAAGGGGGTTAGTCACACTGGTGTATGGCTCAGAAGCATGAACAATGAAAACATCTGATGAGGCGGATCTTGCAGTTTTCCAGAGAAAGATTCTGCGACAGATTTACAGGCCTTTGCGCATGGCCGACGGCGAATTCCGCAGACGATGAAACGATGAGCTGTATGAGCTTTACAACAATATAGACATACTCTAGCAAATTAAAATACAGCGGCTACGCTGGTTTACTCATTTCGTACGAGCGGACAGAAGCGCTCCAACTAAGAAAATTTTCAACGCGGGTCGCGATGCTAGTAATACAGGAAGAGGAACACCTCCAAATGGAGAAAGACTTGGCTTCACTTGGCATTTCTAATTGGCGCCAGTTGGCAAAGAAGATGAATGATAGCCGATCTCTGTTGGAGTCTGTCAAAATGGAACAAGACTCGAAGTGATTCAGAACCAGACTCAAAAAGGCCGTTAAAAAGTCCCGAAATGGCCTTGACCAGGTCCCGAAATAATCCCAAAGTGGTCCCGAAATGATCTTAAACAACTCCCAGTCCTGAGATAGTCCCGAAATGAGCCCGAACTAGCACCGAATGATCCTAACCTCCTTCGTAAACTAGTCCCGAAATGGTCTTGGACTAGATCAAAAAGGTTCGTTTGTGCACACAAGAAACAATCACTGGTGGGTTAACAATAAGCAGTTAAAAATTTTCTGAAGATTACTACTAATTTTACCCTTATCGAGAGCTAAGATGTTTACACATGAAAAATGGCGGTTTAATAAGGGAACGAAATATTTTTAAAATAATGAAATTTATGGAGCATGACAAAATTTGGGATTTTATCACCTATAGGTACTAGCATTATTTTTCCTAAAACGCAGACATTTAAATTATAATATTAACTCACCTCGAGGGATGGAAAAATGGCAAAAATATATCAATATATACCGTATCGATATTTTTAAAGAGTATCGGTATATGCTGAGTAAAAATTATCGATTTTCGGTGCATCGATATTTTTCTCTAAAGGTGCAATTTCCTAAAGCAGTGTCAAAATATTCGATACTAAAAAAAATTATACACAATTATCAGTTTTATTGTTATTTTTTTATTATTAAAATATGTGTTTAAGTATTACGGTGCTTAAGCGACTTATCCATTTCCGGCATAAACAAAGAACAGCGAACACACACACGCATTTGTATTGCACTCCCGCCCAAAACCAAGTGCACACGCACTTGTGTTTAAAAATAATTCGCTCGTTCATCATTGGGTATGCAAATTGTATGCACTTCTCAACTGCCGCAGAACAAAACCTACTAAAGTAGTAAATTTCTGGCGCCCCAAATCATGCTCAACAGTCCCGCTTGATGCATTCCAACTCTTCCCAAATTGTCTCACGGGGCTCTGTATGACTTTCGGCATACAGAGGTGGTACAATAGCTACCATTGGCCACAGCGCCTACCCAATTTTCTAATTTGAATACATAACCGGTGCTCAACACTCCCGCTTGACGCACACCCCCTAAAACTCTTACAGAGTTTAAGCGGCAAAGCCACAATGCTACAAGCCGTATGGACTCTGCATGAGGTGGTAACTGATGGTTATCATTGGCCCCGGCGCCTACCCAAAACATTTTTGCTTTAATAAAATTTTATGCAAATTCATTCATCCTGGTCCTGCCCTCTCACTGAGTTAGACACACGGAGTAAAGTAAAGTCAAAAGTTTTTAAACAATGGTTTCCTAAAATTATTGTCAAACCAGTATTCATCTGTTATGGACATCAGGAGCACCCTTTCTTTGAGGTGTTCCCCTGTTAACCTGCTTCTATTATTCGGCACAGTCAAATTTAGAGCAGAAGCAAGCCTTCGGACAATGCTGAAAAGGGATATTCGGCACAATTACGTTCAAAACGAATCAGATTGATTTCATAGACATAAAAAAAATCGAATTGGATACAAATTCGATACTCGGAAATAAATATCGAATATCGACTCCAAATCATTCTTCACAACGCACTGATACATTCCCTTATCCTCTTTGGTAATGGACGTAATGCGAATATGTTCCGTGGACAGCAATCGAACACGCGCACCGGAACGCAATGGTTGGCCAAATGATGCTCTGTTTTGGAAAGGCCGAAATACTACAAATTTAAATGTGCAAAAAGCGCATACACGCCAGTGCAAAATACCAATGATTAAGCGCAATTAAAGGCATGTGAACGTCGATTTTCTCTTTTTTTGACATTTTAATGGATTTTACAAATAACTACTCAATTTAATCGCCACGCCACGCCTCTGGGCAGCAACTTACCAAATTTGCAGTTTTGCCCAAATTCCCTGTCTGTATGGTGGATTGTATGCTGACAGTGAGCTGTGCTGTAACAGCATTATGTACTTCCGAAGTTTCGCTGCCCTCCGAGTTAGTGGCAGTGCAGAAGAACGCCCCACTCTCGGACCGATCGACTGCGGTAATAATTAGAGTGCCTTCTTTAATTTTGGCGCGCCCCGTCGCCAGCAGATGTTGTATGGACTCCTCGTTGTTTGGACGTTTCGTTTGCCAGTTGAAAGTAATTTGCAGTGGATTATTAATACATAAATATGCAAGCGAAGTTTTTATTTATGCACATGAAAAGAAGTGGCTAAAAAGCATCTAAGTGCATGTAGTACATTCCATGGCTTCATAAGCTTCAATTCTTAATATTTGGCACACAAGTGCTACACGAGTTGGCAAACTTTGAAGATTTTCTCGTTTACGTTGCATTTAAGCAAACCACTTAGGCTATGCGACCCACTTCATTTTATGCAAAATCATTCACATAAGTCACTATCAAGTACTTACATACGTGCATTTGTACATACATATGTGCTTGCACAACGTATACTAGGGATGTTGCGAATGTGGAACTTTAGACTTCCGTGGATGCAAATGCGGATGTGAATATCTAACAGCTAACATCCGCGGATGCGTTTGCGATTGCGGATGTCAAGTATTTTTAAGATACAATTAGAATCTAGTATAATGGCGAGATCGTTGTTTAAACAGCGCTTACAAGCCAAACAAGATGTGTCAAGTTTTTCTAATGATGATTGCGTTTCCACCAAAAATGTCGCCTTTTCATTGCCCCTTTCTGTTTTTATATTCGATTCTAAAATAAAGGCAAATGGTGAGAAAATTTGGTGTTCGTTTCTTAAAATGTTACACTATTGTAAGGCAAAAATCACATTCCCTGCCCTGAGAAGGTTGGTCAGGGAAGATGGTTGCCCTGAAAATCACATGGTTGTTAAAAACGGCAATATTATGAAATGGGTGAGCTGCCAGCCGAATCGGATAAGAATATTGTTATTTTTAAAAAGCACACTGCTTTTTTATGAGATTTACGTAACTATCTCATATATCTTATATTATTAAAGACCATAGGTTTTTTAATTATTTGAGCATCGATTCTCTTTATAGCCAGACGTTGATCATTTCTGCTGGAAATCCCCATTGAAGGAGCTTACTCTTTGACTTTAAAGAGCAAAGAATGTAGAGTTTTACCACAGAAGTTTTTAGCCAAGGATCCATTGTATATCCCTATGAAAAAAATATTGCCCGACAAGTAAATAAAATTACTGTTTTTAAAATTTTTGCTAAAAATAAATTCCCCAATGAGCCCCATTTGAAATTATTGAAACGAATTTATGTAACATCAAAAGCAAATCGCGAAAATTTGGTTAAGAATTACAATACATACTTACTTATTTTTTGGCTAGTAGTGTTTTAAGATTGGTCCAAAAAAATCATATTAAAGGAAGAAACCAATGCAGGCATTTAAAGCGCAAAAAATAAATAAAAATTTGGTAAAAGGACTATGTTCACTTTGACGTACGTCAAAGTTCAAGTAGGAGTTGGAACTTGTATGACTGCCCATTGATAGCTCGGTTATATAACCTTAGAAATAATATGTTTAAAGACATTTTTATCAAAGTTGATAAATATGGGATTTGACCAGTTTTGTTACGCAAATACTCCAACGACCACAGGCAAAAATATTGTCTACAATTTGTCATTTTATTTGCCATATAGGCATACGTTTTATCGGTGCACTTGCACAACATTCGCATTAGCAAAAGCTCCGCATTGATTATTGCGAATGCGAATGTTATAATTAATGCGGAAACTCCGCGGTTGCGA